TAATGATACTAATGAATGTGAATACCGTTTTATAAGTAATTACTGGTTTTAATAGAATTCAAAAGAGTTATGCAAAAGTTGTTCCATGTGATATATTCTCTTTGATCCATGAACGTGAATACGGTTTTATAATTTATGGCTGCTTTTAATAGATTCCATAAGAGTTGTGTAAAAGTTGTTCGGTGTAATATATTTTCCCTGATCATGGTTTTCACAGAAGCTACTAGTTAAGCTTCAGGTGTGAATAAGAGTATTAACGTCGAATTTAAATGTGTACATATAATAGAGTGGTAGAAACATGGAAGGCTCGTCCCACCTCGACCCATGATCTACGTTACAATTATAGAGGGATCTGAGACGATACTTAATTCCTACAACAAATAGCCAGATCAAAGAAGCTTAAGGAATTCTTTCAACTCCAGGCTGTAGATTACCACGTAACACGAGGTTAATTAGCCAGTAGCGCGTTCTGAAAGCCGTGCAAATTGCGTGTGTCAGGAAACAGTACGACTGGAGGTGCTAATAAGAACGTAATTCGTTTTAAACGATCCCTTGTATACGCGATTCTCAGAAATCATGGTTACCTATCGAGAATAAAACTCTGAGAACTCTCGCCAATTTTCGTGCAATCTCGCGGAAACACGGTTAATAAAGAGAAATCTTTCAGCTAGCTTTCCCACGAGTAGATTCACTGCTATCGAGGAAAGAAAATCGAACAACAATTTGTTACAAAACAGTTAAATAATGAAAGAAATGATGGGCCAAATGGGAACATCTTTATTAGGCGATACGGGGAAATTTTCGAAAGCGTTCACCTCCGTCAACATTTCTTCCTCGTTTTGCGCGTGACTGAATGCAGCACGTTACACGACGACGTATATATACGTATTTCCTGGCGGTCACGCAGTCGCGTGAAAACGTGTCGCGGGCATTGCCGTAATGGTACGGACGAGCCTGCTAGCGCTGGAACGAAACGGAGTGTGTCGAAAGCGCGTACAAAGTATCTCTAATCGTCCCATTGTATCGTTTCTCCTTTGTCCATTCTAGCGGGTGAAAGCTTCGTTAAAACCCGATCGGTAATGCCCGTTGTTTTTTCGTGGAAAGAAACCGGCCACGCAATGCGCACAGCTTGCCGCGGCTCGGATAACAACACAATGCTACAGATTCATCTCGTTCGATCTCGACCACTTTCCTTTCCTTCCTTTCCCTTTTTTCCTACGATCCTCCGATGAATCACGAATCAATTCTAATTAATCGGTATTGCCTGCTTTATTTCTGTCTCGAGTAATCGTAAGATTTGCCCACCCAGGCTACGAAGGAAGTAAAGTCGCAAACGACACAGAAATAAAACGCGGTAACGGAGCGGAATGCTCGTTGCTTCTAATGACAAACCCGGGGAAGTTTAAGAGAAGAAGAGAAAAAGACGGGAGAAGGTTAAAATGTGTTCGGTTCGGTGGCGATGTGACGAGCACGTCGAGTCTTCTTCCTGTCGTCAGTCGACAGGTTAAATATAGACGAGGCTCGTTCATTTCCGCAGCCGCGCATGATTTCTTCGTGAATGGAAGCATGAACTGTACTCGCATATAGATCGTAAACTAACTCCGCGTATCTTCTAGTTCGAAACGGGAGGGAAAAAATAGTCGATATTTTCACGAGAATAGGAGTCGAACGAGACGATTGTTTTCCTCGAGAAGCGACTTATTCAAAGCTGATTTCCAGCTGACGCTAAAACGAAAGCAGCTGGCACCGGCTGTCGCAATTAGTATTATGCTGATTAATCGGGCAAGTGCAACGAACGCTCGGAGAGGAATGTCTGCCTTCTGAAAATGAGCGCTAAAGCCTTACCATCGCTCTTTTCGAACATTTTCTTCCGATACGCCGGATTAAAATTGTAAGTCGTCTGACGGTCGCGCAGTTTCATGCAAATTTTCGTGTAATTAACTTCGACGCTTTAACTAAATGGAAGGCGAGATTTGCAATCGTTATGATCGATCGTCGAGGCGCGTTTTCTTTCGTCGCGATGAATTTTCGTGGCGTGAATTGGCGCGTGTCGACCAATTGAAATGCACGGGACCTCGCATCGGTTCCAGTACGGCGAGAAATTCTTAAATGGCCGGCCCGTTGCTGCCCAGGAATGTATGGAAATGTTACGTACCACCTCTGTCCTTTATTGTCCTACATGGTGAGTGGTGGCGGGTTAGGTAGATATATGGAGTTGTGCGCGCGCGCGTGTGCCCCCGTACGCGTACAAGTGTGAAAAGATAGATGAACGAGCGTATATGTGTGACGCGTGACACGTGTTAATCGTGCCTGTGAGGTCCCAACCCTCCCCCACTCGGGGTCCAACCAGGTACACACGGTGTACGCATAAGTATAACTCCAATACGACCGTTCCTTAAGCCTCTTACACGCTTGCAACTAACAGATCAATCCATCAGTCTATACATCATGCTTCTATCTCATCCGAGTGGTTATCTTTTATGAAATTTTCAAAGATTTTTCTGACAATTAAAGATTAGTTAATGCGCTATGTTTCGATATTACCCAAGTATTTATCTTTTCTCAAATCTTATGAGATTTTCACGACGACAAAAGATAGCAATTGACACGGCTTAATTGGTTAACTTATTCGAACAGGCGTGGACGAGGCTGAAGGGGAAGAGAAACTACCGGTGGACACATCTCGGTTCTTCTTTTTAATTTACGACTCTCGATTTTTTCGTGATGGGCCAGGGTTAATGAAATTGATGCCACCAGGCTGGCCGAGCAACAGATTAGCTCTGGTAAACGGTGATTCAGTGAATTAGTGATATTTAAGATTATCGAAGGAGTTCCGTCTATGGCACGAGCCATCGTCACGGATTCTCTTAATCTACGACACGTAATCTAACGAATTGATGAAATTAGTAGGATAACGATGCTCGTATATATCTTTTCTACTCGTCGAGATAGCCTTAGCGATCCTTAGAAAAAATAGAGCACGATGCAAACAAAACGAGTCTCTGTATCGCGGTGTTTAAAATGTACGAACATAAATTTCATTTGTCGTTTAAGAAAGCCGTGTCGCAATTGTTCACCGGTATACAACGCGAGAGAACAAGACGGTAGACAATAAAAACTCGTTGTATGTAGAGAAATAACATAGTTAAACGGGAATGGTAATGTTCGCATTATTCTGAACGGTTTATTGAAAAATATTATCAGCTATTTAATAGGTCACACCAGATACTATTGTGTAGTTCTTATTAATGTAGAACGGATCTTACAAATATCGCTCGAATTACTTGTTAAACAACGAGGTGATGTTTTCAAACGCGAAAATAGTTGGTCGATGGAATAGCAACGATTGATCGAACGACAAGTTCGGTTGTCGAGGAAATGCAATATTTGCCAGGTTCGAAGACACACGCGAGCGTCGCTCATAAATATTTATCGAGCTAGTTGACCGAAAGAGTTGATCTACGATCGAGTGTTTTCCTGCCACGGATCGTCGTCGGGGAAGGAATTATTTTTCAAACAAAATTTACGATAGCGGCGAGTCATTGTTGCGAAATGCACGGCCATCCGTTATTGTGCCAACAACCATGCTAAACTATTTAACAACAGGCTGGTTTCGCAACGATTTATCTTAGCAGCGCGATCGCCAGCTTAGAGGCGACAAATTCGACGTCCCCCTAGCGCCAAGGAACGCGAATAACATCAGATTGAAACAGAAGCTGGTTTGTCTCCCCTGTCTTAATAGAAAGGAATTACCGTAACATACGCTCCTAACTGTAACCGATAAATTACTACCCGACACCGTTTCGAAAATAACCAATTGCTTCCTTTTTTCTTACCTTTAACAAGCCCTTACGATCGCGTTAACTACACATGCTTACATGTATTTCCCTCGGTTATAGGGCGAACGCGTATTTCCGGTGAGTTCAAGGCGATTGAAATTGCAACTCGTTGCACTAGACTGACCGAAGGTAAATCACCGGTAGCAGAGAGATTGCTCCTAAAATCAGTTTACCACTAAGCTGAGGGCGAGGACTGTGCAAGCCGTAAATAAGTCACGGCGATCCGATCGAAACGATAGAAAATCAAAGCACGTCTCGTATGACACACATGTTGCAACCGATGGAATGCAGCTATCATACTCTATCAGCGAGCGCGTGCCCCGCTGTTTCTTTTGTGGAAATCGACGGAGAAACTGCTCGGGCACCGTGGCCGACCATGGCGACCATGGCGACCGTGGCGACCGGGGACAGTTTGCGAAAAACCGTGACCTTTTTCGGCGAATGCAAGCCGTTGCAATTCATTCGGTGCGCGATTTCGCGAGACAAATTGCAGCCGGTTGAAATTGAATACCGAGTAGCTCGGGGAATAGACCTGCTTCCAGGGACGACAATGCCAATCGTGGAACCCTACGCTCTAATTTCGCGTTTATTAACCCTCTACTTCGTAACGTCGATTCAGATATGATAATAAATACCGAGCAGCACGCTTTTTGCAATTTGTCATAGCTATGGTAATCGCGAATGAGATTCCAGAGACAAAGTATGCGGTTAATTAAGGAACAATAGCACGTTCGTTAGCATTTGGAAACCTTAAAAGCCAGCATTCGACGAATTGGAAAGCGGTTTCGTTTCTAAGAACTCTACCAATACAGAAGTGTGACCTCGACAAGACGCTGACCACGTTATCAGGTCACATTCAAGGATAGCAATAACCGACAAGATCTGCTGGTATCGATTCTGAAAGATCGCCGAGTAACCCGTGTAATTCGCGTTCGATCGAATCACGATAACCCGAGAACGCAACGCCAACCACCCACGCATATTTCTCTATCAAGATGGTAGCAGTTTGGCTACCGATTTCATTCTACAACATTATCAACTCGTTGCAAATACTTTTACTTATTTCTAATCGCAACTTATAGCTACTATATCCAGCTTAATTTAAACAAACTCCATGGTTTAATGAAAAAGAGCTAGCTGATTAAAAAAGATTTGACTCACCATAGCGTCGCGACGACGGGACAAGGGGTGCGTATGTCTGGTCATTGGCTCGTGTCGTCCTCGTCGAAGCACACAGGAAGTCCTTGCTGGAGAACAATCACGAAAATAATAAAAATTAATCTCACAAATCGAAGCGACGGTAATTATATTAATCGGGAAGAATGAAAATTTCTACGCACACGGTCGCGTGTCCGTCACTTACGACATCGGCTCGTGAACTGACTCGTCAACATGCGAAAACCTACGATAGATCTCGACTGGTATTTATGTTATTATGATTTCGCTTCCTTAGGCCTCGAACCTCGAGTAATGTTTACGTTTTCGTCTTTCTTCTGTACGACGATTCTCTACGATCGCGTACAATATAACAATGATTTACAAAGCTATGTTATGTCGCAATTTTTTTCTAAGATACAATCGTTACTTTCTAGGAAAAAAAAATAATGAGATACGAAGGGCAATTTTTTGTTCAAATCAATATTCATAACGGAATCCCTTACGAATCGAAAGATCACGCTCGTGCATACACTTTCGGTTTCCTGTATTTCCTACAAAATCAACAAATCATCATCGTCGTCGTCCGACAAGCTGACAAGCGGATAGAAACATCGAACAGCAAGATCTTCCCCGATATCTCGAACTTATTGCGTGTCCAGAAGAAGAGGGATGAGCATTGGTGAAAACGCGATGATCTCGTATGCACGAGGCGTCCCGGGTTAGCGCGTGTCCTCCTCGCGTTCGCGCTTCCAACTCGACCGTGTGCACGCGTGTCTCTCCCTTCGTTACGCACACGCACGCGTACACACGACAAACACCGGCGAAGAAACGAGAAAACGAACCAAGACGAGCCCTGTCCACCGGAGAGGATCGACTGATAGAGACTCGTCGGAAAAACTGGCAGTTCTACGACTCTATTCCACCTTTGGCTTTATTCCCACGGGCCGCTTCTGTCCTACGGCAAGTCGAAGGGGGAAAAACTTGATGGACTTTATGAATCATTGGCGAGCCGTGATACGAAGATGATTTAGGAACTGTTCTTTGCTACCACTTACTTCTCTTGAAAACTTTAACATGGATAATACAATTGTAGATTTGATTCAGAGATCATTGCATATTGAATGCAGCGTTGGAAATTTTACAATCTTAATGTTTTAATTTCCCACCCTCTCTAAACAGGTATCGTTCGAAACTTTTTTCCGACTGAAGCTGAAAAATTACCGCGATCATTAGGGATGACACGCTTCAATTGTTTTATAAATGGATAAAAACCGGGAACGAAGGTCTATTCCGCGTGACAGAGGAACGGAGAGAGTTGTGTGCGTACAATGCACGGAGTCGCTGCACAAGTTGACGAAGGAAACACGTTCGGAAAAACTGGCAGCTCTCGTCGTTCGCTTTACAACTCTATTCTCCAGTCTCTGTTCCCTTTCTTCGTTCGTTTCAACGCGGCACGTTTTTGCCTCGCCGTGACCGACCCGGGAATACGATTCTCCGAGACGAATCGAGCAAACGATAATTACTTTGATTTTTCGACGTTTGCCCGCTCGACGAAACGCCTGCTGTTTCTCTGCGGTACAAGATTTTTAATTAATTTCAACGCGCGGACAAAGTATTTGAAAGGGTTCAAGATTCGATCGAAGAAATCCGGTAAGGGAAGTTGAGAAAAATTCGTGGCGAGGAATCGTTCGATAAAGGTGATTCGAGCAGCTGCGGCCCCCTCTAGCAAGGTCCTTTTACCTGACCAAATAAAAGAGCAAGATTTTTTTACGGGTGCAAACGAAAACCCTCGATCTCTTTCTCGATGGTCGCCGATATCCGCTAACGAGGTCGTCCCAATTAATTCTCGAGCCGTCGTCAAGGTGGTCGATCGATAATCAAGACAGTCGACACGCTGGGTGAAGACGAATCCGTCGGAAAGGGGAAGAAAAAACGAATGAAAGGAAGAAAATCAAAGCGAGCTCGAAAAAGGAAAAATCAAAAAAAAGGATGATGATTGCGAACACGTTGCCTTCCTCGCTTATGTAATTACAGCGGTATCCCGTCCACGGTATTACCAGCATTTACTTTAATCGATGAATTAGCAAATTGCCGCTAATAAATACCTTTTAATTGTCAGTTTGCGTAAAAGAAGCCGATCTCGTTTCTGTTACATAGTTGAATAATAATCTGCCCTACATTGAATTAAACGATATCCAAATTAATTAATACTAAAAATTGAACCCAGGAATTTTTTAAAAGAGTTACGATTCATCAATGGGAAAAATAAGTGGAAGCCGAGAGGAGAAACAGCAAATCGTTGGCGGATACGCGTGTCACCGAGGGAGAACGAACGCCTCGGAACGATATGTAAACGAACCACGAGCCAAGGGACGATAAATCACGAAGAAAATCGTTCCAGAAGTCGTCGAGGAAGGGTAGAGGTCGGTGTCGATGACACCCGCCAATGGAACCCCGGCGTTTAGGACAATCGGGAACGAGAGTACGCGCGCATATGCCCGAAAAATGAGCATCGCTCGGAGCTCGTACACGTTGGGAGAGACCACCCCTTCCGTGAACACGCGTCGGAAAGTGCGTCGACATGCAAATTCCTCGCCAACAATGAGATCCCCATGGTAGAAACGGATAGTGTGCGATGAAGGTGGGGAGAACAGGCCTTTTATGCGCACGCGATTCATGCTGGTTAGACCTGGACAGTTTGCATCTTCCTTTGTCAGTGGTTTCATAGCCAATGGAAAAGAGAGATTAAAATAAAATTGAATAAAATCGGATTACGAAAGTATGAGAATAAAATTTCGTTAACACCTCTGTTCCGCCTCTGTTATCTAATTATTTTTTTATCGAGAAGGAAGAGAAAAGGGTAGCAAGCCTTGTACGCGCACGCGATTTGCGTTGCTCCGAAAGACGAACAAGAGTAGACAGATATTTTCCATTTCCGTTGAACGAACGAGCGTCTCCGTCGATCCCATGGATCCCTGGTTATTCCGTGTCCCGGTCGGTCTTTCCGCGGGATCATCTGCATATCTAAATAATCGAACGTAGCCATGTGTCGTGGCGCGACAAAGAGGAGTACGGTTTCGAAGGAAGAGGACGTATGGCGTGTGCGGGTCTCTCGTTCGTCGGTAGCTACGACGCACGGTCGCCTGTTTTGCATTGCAAATACAGCCGCGGGTCCCCGGGGTTCCTTGAACCAGATCCGATTGGCTCAGCCAGTACCGCGAATCTAGATCTATCTCTTTCCATTGGACCTTTAATCCCGCGGACGAGCTTCATTGATTGTCGATTGAAAACCCCCCGCCACCCCTTTTCCCTCTCTCCACTCTCTACCCCGTTCTCGGCTGCTCTTCCACGTACCTTCTTTTTCTTCCTATTTTTCCAGCGTTCCATCTTTTTTACCGGTTCGTGTCGCGCGACAAAAAAAAATCATCGCCACCCCTCGCGCGATGTTGTTTCATTGTGCGACACGCTGCCACCGGGAGCAGCTGCGCTCGTTTTTACGAATACATTAACGCGCGGCCGCTTGATAAATTGTCGCTTAACGGGAACACGGCTGCGGTGTTCGCGCCTCGCGAGATAAATCGATCGCCGATGCCTCGACGAGACCGTGTGTACCGAGCGTAAGCAGTCTCGCCGTTAATCGAATCACACCACTGCACCGGGGTAATTAGACGTGGGAGCTTCTCTGCTCCAACTTCTTGGCTATGCTTCACCATAGGAGGAAGGAAATTGCGAGATTTTTCAAGTACCGTAACACGCGTCGATACGTGTCCCCCCCCCCATTGAATCCCATACGCGATCCTCGCTTAGTATGCTAATCAACCGATAAATCAGCCAAGGACATCTCGGGTTGCCGATTCATTACCGAAATGGCAGCTGCCAATTGGCGCATGTGCCGATCACGACGAGGCAGGGTGACTTTTGGCAGGGTTTAAATAGAAGTAGAGCGACGCGACGGAATAAGGGTACCGAGCGTTCTGCGTTCGGTGATCAATGAACCGCTTCCGTAGAACGAGCATGCTAAGTGGCATCCGCTTTGCATCGCTTTGCCAAATGAATTGTGACCCTTACGTACACGCGTCCTCTCCTTTCTTCCGCTCCATTGTTGCCTGCTGTGTTTGCGTTTCTTAAAAATCCACCCTGAATTTATTTATTTATTCATATGGGACCAGACGAATTTTTGATCGTCTAATTCTCCGATAGGGCAACGAACAAGCCGCGAAGAAGATGGAATTTCCAAGTTATCGATGGCGATACCGGAACAACGATATCTACCGGAACCGAGCAGTTCTCTCTGGCGTCAGAGCGAAGCGAACGGAGATTGAACGATATGCGAGGAAAGAATTCCGTTATCGAGCGCCATAGATACGAGCCCGTGACTCGAATTCGACTCACGAGGAATTGAAATACGAGCGTTGGCCTTGTCGCCATCGCGAACAGTACCAGAGAGGACTTTATACTGACCGAGCGGGTTTACACATCGTACACGGTGGATGTGTAAAGCCAGGGGGTTCTGTGTGGGCAACCGCCTGCTGCATTGTACCTGACCGAGAACAGGCCGCGTGAAATGTCGCGCCGCAGGTAGACACGCGGCTGACTTATGATCCGTCTGGGTTATTAACAGGTCGGATTATGCGACGAGGAAGCAGGATCTTTTTTAAACGCTGCTCCGATCGAACAGTCTAAGAGAGAAGTTGAAAAAATCACGATACGAGCTACCTGTCGATGATATCGATGTCTCCGGAAAATTGGACAAAAGTCATATCATCCGTGTCCCATAGAAACTTACCTGGTTGCTGGTCGCAACTGGTGGCAGCCGCAAAAGCTAACAACGCGGATATTGTTGCGGCCAGCTGCTTTTGTCGGCTCGACCGTTTCATTATACCTGGCCACAAGATTATTGCGCCCCTCTCGAAGCAGGTAAAACCCCTTTGGAATTAGTGGTACCAACTACTCTTACGATCGGAGTTAATCTTCGACCACGGTCAAAGTATGGTGGCGTTTTTCTAATTGACTACCACTCTAAAGACCAAAATGACCGGAGACGTCTTCTAATGATCGCGAAATAAAAGGTAGAAGAGGCGGAGAAAAA